TCGGCATCTCCATTCTCTGACAATAGCAGCTGGTGCCCATTTTCCTACTAAGTGATTCACATTTTGTTACTCTACTAGAGTGCAATTAGCTGAAGCAGAAAAAAAATGCTCAGCGTAAAGCAGCTTGGCTGAAATTGTTACTCAGCTCTTTAACAAGACCTGGCGAACGTCTTGAGGTGGTGGTGTGGGTGTCGGTGCAAGAAGCAACATTTTCATTTCTTTCCACACAAACATTTTTCCGTCTTACATTCCGAGAAGCAGAGTATGGGAAATCACTGGAACATGCTGCACTGTTTTCTGTCTACTGATTTTGGTATAAACCTGTGAAATGATACTGAAAGTAAGCAGTGTTTGAGAGGAAATGTGGTCTTTACAGTGAAAGCAAGGAGCTGGCTTCCATTCCTGGCTCTGCTACAGACTTACTGTGTCACCTAGACCAGGACTTACTTCTAGCATTGGTTTTCGTAGCTAAAGTATGAAGATAACAAGTTAAAACGGTTTTGGTCAACATCCATGTTTGTTAGAGGAATGTACTGGAGGAAAATCAGATGGATTGAAAAAGTACCTAGGTGTGCATAATAACAACTGCCTTGCTGATGCTCCCATGTAGTAGCTGTCATTAAAAATGTCAACTGCTAACAACCTGTTCTGACATTTATGGAAATAGGTTAATTTTCTCTTCAAGAAAGAAAAACTTCATGTGCAGGTAAAAGTGGACTTTTGTGTTGGTCTGTAATAAAGGTGCTCACTCTAATTATTGTGACTAATTATTACTGTCACTGAAACCACCAGCACAGCTCTGAAGCAGCAAATGATTCTGTAAGCAGAGCTTTTCCTACTTGAAAAGCGAGCATGAAATGTGTTCACAGATTATGAAGTACTGGCATGTTGTTTTGACCTCCTTTAGGTATTGGTAATAAGGGAGATGAGGGAAATGTAACGTTCTGAACGAGTTGCATGTATAGGTGGAATATAAAGAGTGCTTCCAGTGGCTCAAATGGGAAGGCTTTCTTTTTTAAGGCTATATACTGTAATCAGATGCAGTTAATTTTTGCACTCCACTTGTATATTGATACTGATTTAGCCAGTGTCAGCACTGTCAATATCATTAGTAATGTGGCAGGTAGATGGAAATATGAATGTGATTGCATTAATAAATTCTTAATATATTCAACCTTTCATAAGCACGTAGCATTACAATTTATTCACTATTGTTTAAGACTGTTTTAAAGCAGGAGCTGCATATTGAAGTGCTCTGTTACTGTAGCTTTCTGCCAGCAGTGACTGGCTTCAGGTCTTACTTAAATGAACAAGTTGTTAAGTAAATTTAGTAGAGAAGTGAAGAGTCGTGTTATATATTGCATATTACTCGAGGCTTGCAGCACCCTATGTAGTTTCTCTTGTATAGGGGCATGGAAATGCTTCTAGAGCCAATTAGTTACTTTCCCTATTACTGAAAGGAAAGTTTACCCTAGAGCTACCAATCGTTAGAAAACGTACCTGAGAACAGCCCACCACAAATGGAGCTGCCATTTATTTGACTTAAAATCTAGTAAAGAAAAAAAACAACCCCACCAAGGCTTTAAAATAAATACTGTACGTTTTTATATGACACGTGTTATTTCTATTCATAAACCTTAACTAAATTTAGATTTTTATTAATCCAATGTGACCTAAAAATTTTGCATTAACAGCACAATGTGGAATTGGGCTTATTCTCTTTGAATGCAGATAAAGCCATCATCTTGAAAATAGCTCTTTCTGACAAAAAGGTGTTCTTTTGAAATAAAGTCTTTTTCACTACATTCCTCTTAGAGTTAATGTGAATTTTAGTGCCTCTAATTTTAGATTGAAGTGAGGTCTAGAATAAAACCCACCAGCTGACAATTGAATTTATAGATAGTTGTGAATATTTCAGGCTTGAATAATAGAGCTGTAGAATTTCAGACACAGAGAGGAAGAGAGAATTAAGCTCCAACTGTAGTTTTAGACTATAATGCAATGGTGTCTAGGAATTCTTCAGTGTAACGAGCTAAGTAGTAATTAGCAGGGAACTGAGGGAGGGATTTTACAGAGATCTAGCTTAGGCATTATTCCAAATGTTCAGCATGATAATTTGATGGTGGTCCCACCTGCCATCCGTATAAGATGGCTCTTGAATTCCTTTCGTTCAGATGTGGCACAGTATCGAAGGAGTGAAAGCAGTAGGTGTCTGTTGCCCACCCACAGCTAGCACCCAGCCTTGTCTCTGGTTCACCTTCTTTGGGGGATTGAGAACGTTTTTGTTCTCAGAGTCAGATGCTGTCGGTTTTGCTTTTCCTTGGAGTGGTTAATGTTTTAACTGCATTTGTGCTTTGCCAGCATGCACCAGTCCAGTCTGTACTGTTCAAGTGGTAGCCAAAAGCAGCTCTATCTTGGTTAGTACCAGAAACTGCTACTTCAGAAGCATCATCAGACTGGCTTTAGCCTAAGCAGCACTGGTGATCAGATTTTCATGCTTGTAGAATTGAGATTATATTTTGGTTCTGACTGCTTGGAGTGGGAGATATCCACTTTTGCACTGGCTAAGACAACATGCATTTGGACAACTAATTAATTGCAAATGTTTTTTCTCGGAAGGGTGACATTCGAGCTCATTATTGCACAAATTAGAAAAAAAAATCTGCAGTGGGAGTCTTAGGCAAGAATGTGCCATCAAGCTGGTTATGACAGACTGTAGGCAGTGACTCCTGTTGCTGTATTTTGAGACTTTATATGTGGAGTCTCAGCAGCAGGGATATGAAAAGACCAAGTACCTGTTTAGTCAATAAAAGGACCTTAGTGTTAGTGTATAGAAAAATAATGTAAAAAATAAGTTGGTAGAGTGTGAAAGTTAATTGATGTTTTTAATCGTAGCTGTATAAAATTCAGTGTCAAAGAAGGGGAGAGAGAGATGGAGAGACACCGTGGTTTAGTACCCTAATAACTTGTAAGTCTAGTCTAAGATCATAATGTATGTGAGAGCAGTCCAGTAATTATAAGGTAATAAGTGGAGTGGTGGTGTAAGTGCTCTAAATTAAAAGGAATTCGCAGAGCTGCTGTAAGTCAGTGCCGACCCGCTTTCTTTCAAACGATGACTTGAGAAAAGTGCTTAGCCCAGAGTGCAAGTAGAGAGACAAGAGAGAGCTATCTATTAATTACAGCACTCATTAACAGTGACGGCTACAGGCAGCAGATGCAGAAGAAAAGGCACACGCTACTGCAGGCTGGCAAGGGGATTTCTCCCCCTCTAGTTCTTGAGGAAAGGACAACACAAGCAGGTGGTCCAATGTAATAAGATATTTTCACGGCTTTAACCTTCCCATTTCCTTGGTTTATTTGTTGACACCAGATAGCTTGCTCCTTCCCCCTCCCCAAATAAGTACTGATTTTAAGTTTGGAGGGTAACATTTCTGCACATCAGTCTGTCTGTTTTCCAAATTCACGTGTCGTTTGTTTTCAGTAGAATTTTACAGTAAAAATCACAACAATTGAGAGATCCTAAATAGGATCCATGGGCACTGATTTTAGGATAAATCTCATCCTAAGCAGATCTTTTTAATGAAGGGTCAGGCTTTGATCTTGCTTACCCTCATTGGAAAGGAAGCCAACTCTCTGGATTTATGTCTTTTTTCTGTTGGTGAATTTGATTCCAGATCTTGAGGTAGAAATTGATTTTTTTTTTTTTTTAATTTATTTTAAAAAAAACATGAAAAGGTGAAAAAGTGAAGACAAGATGTCAAAAATGGCTTTAGAAAGTTAAGTCAGTCAAATTGTCTGGACTCCTGCATTTTCTTTGAAATCATGATCTATAGCTCCAGGTGGGTGGCCTTATGGGGTAGTTGCTTTTCTGCTGAAAACGTTTCTAGAGAAATGCTCATAACTGTCATCTGTACTTTGGCAGCTTCTGAGAGTACTGCCAGGAAAATGCTGGGTAGGCCATTTGCTACTGTGGTCTCATAATCACAGCTGTAGAAGATGAAGATAGTATCTGATTTGGAGCTTTCTAATTTTTATTTTTGTCCCTTGTTCTCCCTAAAACATGTTTAAAAATAATAAAAGACTTGAGGATGCAATAGACAAAGAAGATTCTCCCCCCCCACCCCCGCCCTGCCCCCAGTACAAAGCACTAATTTGTCAGATCAAATGTTATATGGTTTTATTTCAGAGGCTTAATTCTGAAAACTTGAGAACTGAGAAATAAGACAGAATCTCATCTTCTGAAAGACAAAACTTCTATCTAAAATTTACTCTAATATATTTTTTTTAATCCAGGCACAGAACACGTAAAATGTCAGATCCTATGGAGGATAATGGCTAGAAAGTAATTGCAGCCAGAGCTGATGAATCATTTCACTTAGATTTTGTGAAAATGGAGTCTAGCCTTAATTATTTGTTAGAGTTACCAGTTGATGTGCTACTCCGTTACTAAATAGCTGTATCTATAATAAAGCAATATTAATAAAGGAAAAAAAAAGACTGTGGGAGACTTGTTCTTCAGTTCTGGGATCAGATCAATAGATGATGGATACGTGTTTTAGTCAAGTGTCTTGACAAATGTTAATTACAGAGCAGAACATTTATGTGATCAAACTTGGAAATATTTGTTCCTGATAATGATGGAATTTACAGAAAGAAAGTACCGACAGAAAAAGGAAGACATTTAATAACCGAGTCATCTAATAGGATTTTTTAAATTTTTTGACTTGCTAGATGACAAGTTCAGAATTTAGAGTTGATGTGAAGTTGACACGTAGCCTAGAGGGCAGGTGGAGGGGACGACAGACAGATTTGGTCTCTCTAAAGTTTTTGTTTACTGCCTGTCTGGAGCTTTGACAAAGCTCTGTCATGCCCTTATGCTGATTACCTTCATGTAGAACAAGAGGTATTGACTAATGAATGAATGATGTGCAGTCCCTAACCCTTCCAGAGCAGCCTTAAAGAGCACTGTCTTTAATACACGGATTCTTCTTTCTCTCTCTCTCCACTACAGGCTTCTCTGCAGAATGTCAAGCAAAGATCGACACATTGATTCTAGCTGTTCGTCATACATCAAGACGGAACCGTCGAGCCCTGCCTCTCTGACGGACAGCATCAACCACCACAGCCCTGGTGGCTCCTCAGACGCCAGTGGGAGCTACAGTTCCACCATGAATGGACATCAGAACGGGCTGGACTCACCTCCTCTCTACCCTTCGGCCACAGGGCTTGGGGGCAACGGGCCGGTCAGGAAACGGTATGACGACTGCTCCAGCACCATCGCTGAAGATTCACAGACCAAGTGTGAATATATGCTGAACTCGATGCCCAAAAGACTGTGTTTGGTGTGTGGTGACATTGCATCAGGGTACCACTATGGAGTGGCTTCCTGCGAGGCCTGCAAGGCTTTCTTCAAGAGGACAATTCAAGGTTGGTTATTCTTCAAACTTCTTTTCTTTCTTTTGCTCAAAGTGAAATAGTACAGTCCTTGGCCAAATCCTGTTAGGACTTCAGACGACACCTTTTCATTCTGCATAGTGTTTGGTCCTACAGATGTTACTCATGAAAAAGCCCCTTTGGGCTTCTTTTGGAGTTCTGTCTGTCATTTTAAGCCCACTGCCACATTTATTTTGATTGTGAAAAACAGAAAAACACTGGAGCCACCCTGGTGCACGTTCAGGTTTGTTTTCTGTATGAGTTTCTCATGGAATCCCATAAATGATTGTTGCAAGGAAAACTGATTATTTTCTGAAGGTTGTCGTGGATGCATCTTGAGCATGCCTTGTGGCTGGCAAACAGGGATCGTGCTTGGGTTTTGCTCCTAGTTACACTACTACCATACTTAAATTGTTACAGAAATCCAGTTTATTTTTGTTAAAGCACGTAAAATTGGAACAAAATGCAATGGTGTAGTGCTTTGTGCATATCAGCGTATTAATAACTGGTCTTTCACCCATACAATATACAGTGGCCTTAAACAGGTTCAACAAATACCTGTAAGATCACATTCTAAGGAGAATAAGTTGGCAGCTTTTGGTCTCTGTCCAGTACTTTGTACTACTCTGCTCTTGATACCTGTTACAAATAGCCACATATTTTGGCATAAATTAGTATGAATGGGATAATTTGCATGACCACTTGTTCTAGCTTCAGAACCAATGGAGACAAAATAACCTTCTACTTTGATTTAGATATCATCCTTTCAAGTAACATTGAACGTGCTTTATTTAAAGAACATGAGGCCAAGCTTGGCCTGTACAGGAATATAGCGTCACATTAAATTAAATTCAAACTTCAGAGACTAAAATTAGGTTGCTAAGTCCAAATTTAAACTCCTCAATAAAGCCTGCATGATTTTCATAGATGTTGAGCACCTGGAATTCTCAGGAAAGACAATGCAATCTGGTGGTATACTTTTCTTTTTACAAATGAGTTATGATAAGGAGCATAAAGTTAGTTTCAGTTTGTGATTTCACATAATCCAAAATTTGAAACATTTGGTCAAGATTTCTTAAATGCAGTACTTCCATATTTAAAGTAAAATTAATAATGAAAAATAATGAAAGTTATTTTAATTTATCCATTGCTGAGGCAATGGCTGTTTTATTCTCCTCTCATCCATTTTACTACTGGGGGATTTGGGCCTTCTGCCAGCATAAAGTACCCATTTTATGATGGCCATATAGCCACTAAAAAGAAACATTAGACTTCAGTTGTTGTAATGGAGCTGAGTGTTAGAATGTTTGAAACCAGTAAACAAACATACCTGTGAAGATTCCTTGTGGCCTGTGTTCATACATAAAATGAGTGCATATGCAGAAATAGCATGCTCATTTTACGTCTTTGTTTTTGGATAAAGTAAAAAAAGAGGTAGGTGATTTCACTTGCCCTTCAAGAACATTTTCAGAAAAGCTCAAAAAATGTTTCCACTGAAGCAATTTGTATTTTGTGGTTGCTAAACTTCAAGCATGAACTTCAACCAGGAACTCTGTTTTTATAAATGGTATTTAATTGCTATGTAATAGCTGTCCTACAGAACTCAATGCACGATTATTTTAGTTGTATTTTGAGCATGAAAAAATGCCACAGAAACATTAACTGATGAAAGTGTTGACTTCTGGCAGTAATAGGTAGCCTGCAATTTTACACTGCACCACAGACAGCAAGTTTTTGGGCATGGAAGCACAAGACAGGGACGTCATTCTCCAGATTAGCAACCTGGACTTGGCCACGCAGCTCAAGTTAGAACTGGCAGCTGTGCAAAAAGTCTCAGTACGGTTAGAGCACTAGCTGCATCAGCAGGTGACAGTGCGGTGAAGACAAAAAACAAATATGCAGTAAGGCAAAACCAAGCATTGAATGAAAAAGCAATAATGAAGAAACTCAGAATAGGAAGTTTGTTACCATCATAATGTCATGGCAGCATCTTCAGTAATGGTGCTGACTAAACTGACGCAACTACTAAGAGTTTTCAGATACCATGCAAAATACTAGAAGCTACTTACTTTGGTGGATCAAACCATGGATTGTGGTAGGTGACAAGAAGTATATAAGAAAAAGGTACTCCTCATGTTTTGAATGGGCAAATTCTACCTTTAAGCTTGCATGAAGAATGCTTCCCCCGAGTTATTTTTTTTTTTTTTTTTCTCTAAAAGATAGACTGTAGTCCCAGTGTTCCTAGAGGTCATTCTTCCCTGTACCACTTCACTTCCTGTTTCATATCACATTCTTCCTCTGCTTGTTTTTAAAATAAGTTGATGACTGCAGAACTGCAAATAGGAAAACAGGAAAACAGAAAAAACCAAAGAAATTTATAAGTACATAATAGTAAAGCCCAGACTACCTGAAGAGTCAAATATTGTAACTGTGCATATGTAAGGATAACATGTCTTGGCTCAAAGACTTGCTTATTTTAAATGCCAGTAATTTAATTGTAATGGGTACTTAATTATAGATTCAATGAAAAAGAACATTTGACTTCCCAAACCTTTCTTGTTTATCATTCATGAGTTACTAAATTAGCTTAGACTTGTAGAACCTAAGTGCTACTCCTGTTGAAGTCATGGGAAAAACTGCCCTGACTTCAGTGAGAGCAAGGCTGAGCTGATAAAGTTAGATTACGAAGCACATCTTGCGTTCACGTCAGGCCTGATGTCCTTTCCACTAAGTCAATGGGAGTCCTTCCATTTCAAAGGAGTCTTTTGAAATCTCAGTAGGTGTAAGCCACAGGCAGCTGTTCAGCGAGCCAGCACAGTATCTGTACACCACCAGCATCTTACATAAGACAGAAGTGAAGTGCATTGCAGGATATCTAGTAGCCCCTTACACGAGACAAATTTTGCTCTAATGTAGAGTATACACCTGCTTTTAAGGGTAATGAAGATTTTTATTTCCTTTCAGATGACAGCCATTTAGTCTAAAAGATGTCTGTTCCTGGCTGACGGATTTCTCCTCTTCTTCTTGCCTCTTGCAATCCCTGCTAATTTTCTTAAAAGTAAAGAAATTAAACAAACCCTGCCTTGAATGATAAGGAGGAGTAATTTTGTCTTTTTAGAATATGTATTTTTAACATGGCACAGGAATACATTTGGGCCTGTGGTAGGGAATGCATAGATTATGATAAAAATCAATAATATTAGAAAAAATTAGAAACAAGAAATTACCTGGCTAAAAAACCAAAACAAACCCCACCAAAAAAACAGCTCAGTATATAAAATCAGAGTTGTCTTAGGTCATGGTAGAAACTAATGACGTTCTGCCCCCCTTTGTGACATATAAAGGATGGAAGAACTGAATGTTCTCTCTGCTCAGCCTAGTACTCACTCAGCTGCAGCTCTCAGTTTGCTTCTGGGATAATTTACGTGGTGGCTGATTGCAAATGTCTCGCAGAATCACACACAGAGCCATATCTCCCCAAAATTGGCTTAACATCAGGGATAGTAGAAAATAGCAATGTCTAAAAATAGTTACAGGTCCATTGATTTTTAGGGTCTCTCCACAGTTTTTGCTGTGCACTGTATTATCTTGAAAACTCCAAGCTTTCGTTAAAGAGAGAAAAAAAAAGAATTTTCAGTTGTCAGCTGGGTGCAAAGTCCTGTGTTCAGCACAGAGGTCTTGTACTTACTGGATATTTTGTAGTGAATATTTAGTGTAAATACATTTTTCATCATTTTTATTTGCTCAGTTGTTGTAAAGACTAGTAAGTACATATTTTGCATTAATAATATGTAATTACTCAATGCCTGTAACTTAAACATTTCTGCAAGTGGATTGACATGGTATTCTTGCTTTTGGTAAAAGGATGATAGGATTTACAGATTCAAAGGCAGTTTACTATTTTGTTTTACTTTAGCCTTTATCTCTCTAAAATAATAGCCTGCATCTAGACAACTTTCTTCTTCCCTCCTTCCACATCTTCAGTACTGTCATCTTTGGACTCTTTAAGCAGTGTGAAAAGCCTAGGTATTGCTATGTTGCCTTCCTGGTAAGGCTTGTTGCAAAAGTGTCAGAGCTTACTACTTATTTCCTTGGACAGTGTTTGAATTTTTCCCACAAAAGCTAAAATATTTTGCATTCAATAGTCCTTGTAGTTCTTGGGCTTTGGGGTTTTTTTGTTTACATGTTTATTTTTTAAGGAAAAACAGTTGGATGAACAGTATTGAGACAGCAATCTTCTGTTGATACGCAGGGTGAGTAAAGCAATAGGTAGCAAGAAGCCCTGCAGTCATACCCTCACTGTCTCATTTAAGAGCTTTATCCCTGAGAGTTGTTGCCTGTCCATGTCTCCTAATGTAAAAAGGAAATATTCCATCCTGGGAATACTGTTGTCTTTTTGGTCGTTACGTGAACTAGACCAAGTCTGCCATCTCATTTTATGCTGATCACCCAAGAGCCTTCAGCTCTACAGTTCTGCAGTAATATAGTTCCTATGGTCTTCAAAGCCTGCCTGAACTAGGAGCTAGATTAAACTGCTTTATACTTTGTTCACCTTTTTGGTTACTCAAAGTTGTTTTTTATCCCTTTAGTGTTCAGGTTTTTCAACCCTCTTTAGAGTGTTTACCCATTACTGAGCTAATTGGATCTGTAAATGTACAAACACTTTACAGTAAATATATTTATTTTTTAAATCGTGAAGTTTTAATCAGGAAAGTTAGAACTAGCTATGCAAATTCAGATAAGGTGACATTTAAAATGGGCAACATAAAGTTCGATTCGAAGTTGCACGTGACTGAAGTGGCTTCCAAAGGTTAATTTGCATCTCTCAAAGCTGACTCCCATAATACTGCACATCATTTTTGTGGAGGAAATGAAAGCAAATTAAGTAAGATTTTATGACTTTTCAGCATCTTTACTGGTAGCTAAGATTATAGGTTTTTATAGAAAGAAAGGGTGGAGGCTTGCATCTTGGTGCAATAGTCTGCGGACCTTGG